CACACACACACACTCACACTCAATCAATCAATGAAATCATATCGATCAATCAATCAAACCCTTTTTTTGTTTATTTGTTTTCAAATTTTGCGTCTGCATTTTTTTTTAAACACCTCATTTACCTGCAAAAAACAGAAATTCATTAAAAAAAAAAACACAGGTCGACTTGGGGACCATATATCTCATGATAAAAAAAAAAAATAAAAAAATACTGGTTTTATATATATATATGTGTGTTTGTGACGATATATATATATATTGTTTAAATCGATTTTAGGTTTTGATTTTTTAAAAATCTTAAACAAAGTCGGATACCAGAAAATAAATATAGGATTGTATTGTTTTCCAAAACATGTTATTCATTAAAATAGGACATTATATTGTGTCCTCTTTCGAACGGATTCAGTTTTGGCTACAGCCTAAGCAATGTAGGCATGCCCATCCACTCGGCCCATATGCGGAAGCGTGTTGAGATCCATACTTGTTTATAATTGTGAAGACCAAGGCCCCTTGATTGTGTCCTTGTCCGAGAAGTTCGACAAGTGTTTTGAGATCCGTACTTCTTTAGAATTGTGATGAGCAAGGCCGCTTAATTGTATCCTTCTTGGACAAGCTAGCTTCCACTATCCCGAAGTAACGTAGGCATGTCCATCCTCTCGACCGAAACATCTAATACTCATATGGATGTTTGGTGAGATTCCGTCTTCTTTACAATGCTTAGTGTAGCGACTGGCATGCCCAAGCAATTGGCCCGCATGCGGAAGTGTGTTGAGATCCATACTTCTTATACTAAAAAAATTTAATGAGCAAGGCGTTACAACCGGATCGATGTTGGATAACACTTTTATGAAGCGTCTTGATTGTCTCCTTATTGGACAAGCTTGCTTCGGTTATCTTTCAGTAACAAGGTATGTCTATCCTCTCGGCGAGTAAGTTATATAGATTCGGTGAGATTCGTGTTCTTTAGAAGGCTTAGTATAGCGACAAGCACGGCCAGGCACTTGGCAAACATGCGGACGTGTATTGAGATCCATACTTGTTATACTTTAGAAGGCTTAGTATAGCGACAAGCGCGCCCAGGCACTTAGCCAACATGCGAAAGTGTGTTAAGATCCATACTTGTTATACATCAGAAATTTGATGAGCATGGTGTCCTAACCGAACCCATAGTGGATAATACATTTTCGAATGTCATCGCTATTGCACTTTATTCAAGTGATGCAATGTATGTTTGATAATATCTGGGCTTATTTCGCTATGTGATGAAATGCATACAAAGAAGGGGGTTGATTATACTGGCAAGCAACATCTGCACTTGAGCAGGCCATTCACAGAAGTCCCAGACATGAACACGAAGTCATTTGTTAAATGCAGTGCAAGCAATCACAAAGCAAGTTATGGTAGCGTAATGAACTGCACACTGACGCACTTATCAGGAGTTGTTATGCATGGGCACACCAATTTATTATACCACACAAGAAATTCGGATATCATGCGATTTCAATTGTAATGCACACTCTAGGTTCTTATATGTGAAATTCAGAGAAAAGAACGCAACAAGAATTTGTCCCACCGCACGAGAAATGATGAAGATGACAAAGTCTACAAATGTCACCATACAGACAACGACCATCCTAAACAGAACTCGAAATTGAGCGAATAAAAGAGAACGAAGTTGCCTTGAGAAAGGCAGTGGAGTAATGTCATGTCTAAGCAAAAACAATAACCATTGAATGAAATATAGTCAAAAGATTGTACAAAAGTTTTGGAAATCAATCAAAGACAATGGTGTTCCAAAAGATATGTTGCCAATTGTCGTCTAATTACAGGTATATCTTCAGAAGAGGACCTGAAAGGTCACCTCGTTGCAACAGCGTTGCAAACGTCAACATGAAAACCCCACAACTAACTCCGTCAACTTTTCTCGGAACTCCTTCCACAACAACGTTCCCCGCCATAGATTCCCAACTCCTAGGCGACCGGCCATGTGAGGTATGACGTTCTAAGTACTGTATAATCAACTCAAAAACACTAAGGTAGAAACGAGAATCTGCTATAACGCGAGGATAGGAGTCGAAAATCTCGAAGACATTGTCCCTCAAATTGATGGAAAGGAGGATCCAGTGATCATTGTCTTTGTGCACCGGCACGAAGATCATATCGAAGTGAAGCAGATCTACATTCTTAGCCCACCTTTCCACCCCACCGTGTCCATGAAATTGCAGCTTACTGAAGAAGAAAGAACTGAAGTTGAAGACTCGAAGGCCTGATGATGTTTGACGTGTCATGCATGCAGTTGACCCCAAAAGCGCCATGTAGAAATTCACCACCTCATCGTTGCTTCCCATCGACAAGCAAGACGGTGAACAGATCTTTAGTTGTGATTCTCACTTGACCATCACCGAAAGTAGATAGAACATGATGAGGTGGCACCAAGCCTCGGGATACGATTCGATGAAAGTTGAAAAGTAAAATATTGACATAGCCATGCAGATGATGGCCTCTCCAACCAGTGGAGTTTGTCATCACGTGGTCGGGTTCAGCGAGGAGCGTGTTATCCTTTGAACACGAAGACGAGGAGCGCAGTCGAGCCTGAGACCCCTGCACAACGCGAAGCAAGAAAACATCAGGCCAAACAGTATGGAGGGCACAAGAGCGATGAAGTCCGGATTCCGGCAGGCTAGAAGCCACAACGCGTGGAGACCGACCGAACACGTCCGACCCCGACACTGGAAGTGAGGACACCGGCGCGTTGAAAAGATCGGACCTCCGGAAGGTCTGTTTTTTGTACACCGCCAGTGTCGTCACGACCAGTGTCGGCAGGAGACGGAAAGCCGGCACTTGCGCATGTGCGGATGCCGGCGGAGTATCAGAGAGTAAGCACATCACGTACCAACAATAGAAGCGCGGACACCGGCGGACTTAAACAACCAGCAGATAGAAGGGTTGTTTTATCTTCTCGGCAGGGGTTATTTGGTCCGTCGGTATCCGCACTTGTATTGCGGAAGGGTGATGACGTCAGGCTCTGTGTGTTGGTCGCGGATGAAAGTCCGCCGGAATCCATACTTAACCATGTGCCAGCTCTCCTCATGTCGTTGACAATGGTGGTGCGGATATCGGCGGACTACAATGACATGTCCTGCCCACGAAAGAACAACACACTTCAGACGACGCGGACAAGGCTGGTGTGTCGTACCGAAAGGACCCAATGTTGTAGTCCACCGATGTCCGCACTTGCTGTGTCGAGGCCAACACCGGTTGATCTGTATGTGCTCCTCAGGGCTCGAATTTTGGCACAGCGAGAACTGCGCCAGTGTCGACAATCCTCTTCTGTGGCCGCACAGACATCCATCTTCGCTACCGTCCATGGGAAGGCGGAACTTGTCCTCTCGTCAATGACAGGATGGCCGACTGACATCGTTGGCACTCTAGAGACGTTAGCATGCTGACGTGGCGAAGATCATTAACGCTTACCAGCCGGTTTCTCCTTCCGTTCCTTCATCGGCGACCGGGGCGCGGGTAAGGCGAGCACCGCGAGAGGCTGAGCGACCGCCCTGCTTTTTTTCGGGGACGTCAGATGCTGGCAGCCGGCAACCTGAGTCTCCATTTCCATTGTCGTCGCTTCGTCGTCGACATCACCCCCGCGTTGCATCGTGTACAAGTGTCCGAACGAGTCAGACGACTCACCGCAGCCAGCATCTTCTCCACCCTCCGGCCGTTCGTCCTCCCCTTTCGCTCCTCCCCCACCTTCTTCCCATTCAAGTTCTTCTTGGTCGTCCTCCACTTGTACCCATTCCTCCCCCCCATCCCTCTTGCGCATATCAGCTCCTCCCACTGGCCTCACGTCGACTCCCGTCGACAAGTCTTCTGTCCCCGCACACGTCTCATCTTCCGCCCGCCCGACGACATCTGGCTGCAGGTCCGTTCCCCAGCTAGTTCGGTTACTGGCGGAGTTCAAATTGCAGAGCACAGACGGCGCCCCGCTATCCAACCGTGCATTGAACTCTGCACGCTGCCCATCTCCGACGGCCGACGCCGTCCCCTGCCGCGTAGGAAAGTCGTCGGACGTCGCACCGGACGAAACCGAAGTGCGGATTCTGGCGGACTTCGTTTTGCCACACGTTTCCGATACTTCTGCTCCGGTAGCGCTGCGCAGGACGGGCTCCCCATCGTGCACCTCAGGGTGCTTCGTTCGGATGGCGGCGGACTTGTACTTGATGCTGGTGATCGGAACACCGGCACTCGAGCCTCTCCTGGTGCCAACGGAAGTGGCCAAATCAGTCGTCGAGGGGAGGGCCGACCAATGTATGGTGGATGCAGCGTGGTCGCCGACGGACTTCGCGGCGCCCAAAGGAGGCGACTCCACGTTCTGAGAAGTTCGGATGTTGGCGAACTTAACCGATTTGCTGGCCTCGACGGTCGTCTTGTCAGCAATGTTCAACAACCCAACCCGACCGCCGCTTTCCGCTGTTCTGCCCTAGTCGTGAGTGCCAACCGATCCCCCTGACGCGGCGCCCTCTCCTGTCCCCTTGCTGCTTCCCCCACCCCCTCCCCCGCGCGGAGGGCCTGGAGGTCCCCCTCCCGCACTCCCCTGCGACCCCGTCGCAGGGGGGACCTTCCAGTCCACGCTTCCTTTCAAAGGGCTCGTATCGAAGTCGTAAAACTCGTCCGAGAATTCCAACCACCCCTTGTCTTGAAGCTCCAGAAACAAACGTTCAGCGTGTTGAACGACGGCCGGGTCGGTGGCCTGGAAACGGGGGTTCTCTGACGCCACTTTGTCCGCCACACCACTGCTTGCGAGTTGCAAGTACTCGGACTTGGGAAGGCGCGAGCATGGCTCCCACAGCCCAGCCGAGTCCACGACGGCCATTATCCACTCCCCTTCGCGGATTGCAGGCTGGATCGATCCCGGGTGCCAAATCATGTCGTGACCTCAGTCTGCTTCAGTGGAACGAGTGTGGTCGTGCCCTTCAAAGTGAATGGACTCATCCTTCCAAGAAGGATGTTCCGGCGGGACTGCACTCCCTGGACGCAAGCGAGGCGGGGCAACAATACGGGGTGTGGGTTTCGCCAACATCTTGCTGGGGGTCTTGCCGGGGGTAGACCTGCGAACGGGCGTCGCTGGAGTGGCCTGGCTTGACGATGCACCTGCCGTCGAGGAGCCCGGGGGTGGAAGAACAGGAGCAGGGAGGTAATTCAGGGCGATTTCCTCGGTGTCGCTATCCTCCTCCGGAACATTCGTGTCGAAAACGAATCCGGTCGTTGCCACTTTGTCTGTGTCAATCAATGCACTGTAACTCGCGACCCTGAGCTCCTGCTCCGACTCGACAAAGTACAAACACTCCATCCGGTCCAGGAAGTTCTTCGCATTCAAACGCGAGGCGCCGTGGTAGTTGTCCGGCAACGCCAACATGTGCTCCTTGCGTCGAATATACTCAGGGTCGCTGTCCCTCCTGGGCCGCTTCTCCAGGAGGAGGAACTTGCATATCCTGTCCCTTTTCCTCTCGCTTAGCTTGAACCACATGTCCGTGGACGGCTCCCAAGCACATCGTGGTTTGTCCGTCCTCGAAATAAACTCGCAGCGGTGGGCTCCAGAGTTGACCGCGCCTTTCAGGAAATCCAACGTGTATTGCAGCAACTCTGAATTCCCCTCCAACGCGATGACGTTGCGACCGCCCTTCAAAGCCTCCCACACTACTTGCGCGTGCGCCTTCCCAAGAAACATGACACCCTCCCCCTTTTTGCACACGAATTCCAGCAGATGGGCCAACTGCGCGGGGTTCCGTTCTATGTCCTTGTAAACTTTGTGGTCACGGCCAGGTATGACCAGGGGCCATTCACAAGGCTCGAACGGCATCTCCGAGACGTCCGTCGGTGTGACTTTGACATGTGCCCCCACAGCAGCAGCATCACCCACCTCCAACCTCGCGTCGTAAACCACATACGTGTTCTCCCGCAAGTCGTCAGCTTTGAAGAGGATGTTCATGAGGTCGTCCACTGAGTACAAGTTGTTGCCGACCGCGAAGCTTTTTTTCTGCTGCGGCCTCCTCACCCACTTTCCTGCCATTACCTTGACAATGGACAGATGGCGCAGACTGGTCATGAAGTAGTAGTCGTGCTCCCGGGGGACGAAAGCAACGACCGTCCAGTGCGAAGGGAACAAATGTTGTAGAAGGGCATTCAAACTCTCGAAAGCTTGCTGTGTCCACTGTGTGATGTCCACAGGCTCGCACAAATCAAGAACGGCAGTGTGGCACTTCGTGATCCCAACCGCTTTCTCCAACTCGACGACATTCATCTACACCTCCAGAGCATCAACGCCGAAGAGGGCAATGGATGTCACATCCCCCGAGTCCTGCCACCGAATATGCACCATGCCTTCGGCAAGTGCGACATCCATGCTCTTCGACCTGCTGCCGATCAGCACAGAAAGGACCTTGTTCTTCCAGTCCATGGACAACTTGTTGTTGAGAACCAGTTTTTCCGTCGCCTTGATCGACTTGTCGTCCTCGCAGCCCATGAACGGGGGACAGTCTCTGAACACCGATGAGTCTCCAACGAGTTTCCTACTTCCGTCCCACAATGCTGCATCCAGTCCCTAGCTTTTGAACTGCGCCAAAATCGCCTCTCTTTTCCGCAGGAAGGGATAGGAACGCGTCCAATCGGAGTCGGGCCGATTCTCATACTTGAATTGGTAGTAGTTCCATAACCGCACCAAGATGCGGTCGCACTTCACCAGATGCACTGCCTCTTGCATCCCTAGCTTCCCTTGCTTTGCCAACGCAGAGGAGCCGGTCTGCACCCACACCACCTCGCAGTTGAGAACCTTCTTTAGCAGCCGACATTTCTCATTGTCCGTGAGGGCTTCCATGCTTTTCCAGCAGTGCGGATCCGGCTCGTTGAATTGGATGAACCAGTCGCCGGATTCCTTTTATTTTTTTCCTTTCTTTTGAGGCGCATCGACGGGGATGTTGTAGACGACCTCCTTTCGCCCGGTCTTATCATGTTCGATGTGGCTCACACCGGCCTTCACGCCCTTCACCTTCTTCTTCTTCGCGATCCACTTCGCCCCTTCGGGTGCCAACAGTCTGCCCGTCTCCCATTTCTCGAAAAATTCCATTCCCATTTTCCACGCGCTCTCACTGGCCATCGCAAGCGGGAAATAAGATCGAAGGGCAGCGTTCTGCTTCCTTATGCCTTGCTCGGTCTTGTCGTCAGCGAGTGTCCACAAATGATTGTACGACGTCTTTTGAAGCGCATCTTCACAAAACCGGCGCCAAGACTCCACCTGAGTCTGTTTCCCGCTCGGGTTCCCCATAACAGCTCTTGGGTAACCCTTTTCCTTCCAGCACCACCGGATGTCCTTCATCGAAAGTTTTTGCTGTCTGGGAGGCGCCTTCAGGTCCTTCTTGTTATCCTCGGCGCTGACCAGAAAATACCCTTCGAAGTCCGCGTCGGAGAAGTACACCATTCGCGCAGGCCACCTCTCAAAGTCGTACCTCACCTCCACGTCTGTGCCAAGCAGCGTCCTGGCGGCGGCCGCATTATGCTGGCCGGCAACAGCGTAGTAGTAGTACTAGTCCGCCAGCTCGTCCTTCCAGTCCTCGGGCTTCAGACGCTGTGCACGCACCCCCGGCTTCGGTTTCTCCAGCGGCGCCAGCTTCAGTGTGGGCAGCTCGTAAGTCTTCAAGGCGTGCGAGTAGGCCGTCGTCATCGCGTCGATGATCAGCTGTGTATGCACCGGATCCAAGGAACGCTGGTTGTACCCCGCTTCCCACTCCCCGATGTCGACGACTTGCGACGTGTTAACGGGTGTCTCGTGCTTTGTGCGCACGCCGTCTTTCCATTCGAGGAAATACGCCGCATCGACGTCGATCGGACCCGTCTGCTGCACAGGGACGGACACGGGCTGAATCAGCGCCGAGGATGGGCGTTTGCGGCTCGGAGCGCCCACATGCCCCTCCCCTCCCTTCCTTTTTCCCCCTGACATCTGCAGGGCCTTTGTCTTCTGTTTTTTTGATGCAGCCGCCGCGTCTCCACGGGAATCTCCCCTTCTCTTTTGCGATGACTGCTGTTCACCCTCCTCTCCACCGGACAAGACGCCAGAAAACCTCCCCCCCGACCCCATTGTGTGACCCCTGGTTGACGTCAAGGGCCGCTCCTGGACCGGTGTTCTCATCTCAACACCCGGAATGCTCAGCACCCTACGGTCTCCCCCTCTAACCGACGAACCCGACGTCCTCTCCTCTTCTTCCCTCTCGCTGTCGTCAAAGCGACCACGTTCCTCCCTGCGGTGGAGTTGGAATGAAGCACCAGAACCCAAATCTCCTCCCTCGGATGGAGCACCGCTTGACTCGAACCCGGTGCACATCTGCACAGGCTGCGACAGCGCCAGGTCGCATGAGATCTGGCAGGGTTCATCAAGGTGGACGTCTTTCTTCTCCATCAAGTTGAAGAACTCCCTAGCGGAAAAAAGACCTTCAGCCGCGAGTTCTGTGTAGAAAGGGGTCCTCAAGGCACGCCCCTTCGGAAGCAGCCACGATGCCGCCCTTCGAATTATAAACCGCGTGCAGCTTGAAATACATCTTGTCGTGACTCCTAGCCGCTTGCCATCCCTCGACCAAACCAAGCACTCTCCGGCGTCTACTATCTTCCACAAATAGAACCGGACCGCACGACGCTCTCGTGGGGTCGTTCTCATCCCCGCAGCACCAATCGACATACCATTTCGCGCGCACATGATCGGACCACGACTTTTTTGGTCGTCGATTCCCTTCCTGAGGTCCCGGTAGGCTGTTCCTCGCACATTCTGTCTGCACTAGCCCAAACGAAAGAAGCATTGGGAAACACGGAAAGCATAAACAATCAGCACAACAGAGAAGTTCGGATGCCGGCGGACTAGCCAAGACGCGACACACAAAAACACAATTTGTGGCGTGTAGTAAATACAACAGTCTCCAAGCGGAGGAGCGTTGCCGTGGAGCGAAGGGTGAAGACGTCCTCCGGACGTCATCGCCTGCACAGCGCCAGGAAATGTTCTGAACAGATAATAGCTCTCCGCGCGCCCTTGTCGACCACACGTAAGGGGCAGAATAGCGATAGTGTTCGAATGGAGAACCCCTGTGCAAAGTCCGGACACCGGCGAATTTTTGTCGACTAATAAGTGCGCTGCACGGCAGGATGCCCTGACACGAAGAAGGGTCCATTCGGGGAGTTCCCGCCGGCATATTGTTCGGCGCCATATTTCTTAACAGAAGACGAGGGGGGACCGGCAACATCAAAGAACGATCTGGCTAAGACATTGACGAAGTGCGGATACAGGCGGACTTCGGTATATGCTCAGGATGTGTGGACGCATAGAAGGGACGGGGGAGAAGTGGTCGGTGGCACGTTCTTGAAGAAATATGCCCAACATCCGTAATCAGAAGACGCCGGGGCTCAAGGACCTCGCATCGAAATGGAAGGAACGACGACGTCGTGGTACAAACAGAGGAAGTTCGGATGCTGGCGAACTTTAGAAATCGCCCATGACAACCGAGAGGCTCGCAAGGAGTGCGGACCACTCGAGCAAGGAGCACCTATACACTCAATTGCGATTCAGCATCCCGAAAGACTACCACACAATTGATAACCTGCGGGATCCAGCGGGGGGCAAGGGGGGGGGGGGGCTCTGTTTGGGGAGTGCGAAACTGTGCTCGAAACAGACCCGGATACCACACAATTGATACCTTAATAGTGCGTTTGGCAGTCCGCATAGATTACCGCCGACTGTTCGGCACACCTTGAAGGTGGTCGGGAAGCCGCTGGGCAGCGCGAGGCCTGCTCCGCTGAGGAGACCGGATTTTCCGAAGTCCGGATCTTGGCAGACTTCAAGCATTGTCCTACACAACGGGAGCCGCAGCTATCGAGGCCCGCCTTCCAAACAGCACACGTGTGTGGACCGAAGAAGTCCGCCTGCATCCGAACTACGAAGCCTGCCCTGATCCCGCTGTGTTGCTAAACTAGTCGCGGCAGTTGAAAACCGAACCGGAACGATTGCGTAGATAATGACAGTCACGTGTTGTCGGCGGTGTCGGCAGTTTTGGCATCAGACCCTCACGTGTTGTCGATCTGGGGCAAGTGCAGCTGTCCACCGGCACCCTCGCATTGCACCATCCAGTCTACAACAGCAGTGCGCGGACACGGTATAACAACCCAACGATGACGAAGGTCGTCATTTCAGCTCGGGTACGACGGGCCACGCAAGTGACTATCGGAAGGCGAAGTTTGCCGGGATCCGAACTTTAGCGGGGCTCGATTTGGAAAGGGACGGCGTCAGAGACATGCGACCCGTGAGTCGGTGGTTGTTGTACTGAACCGAGACCACGAATTTTCACGACGAGTGCGCTGCATATCGTCAACTAGCAACTGCAGCCTCTCACAGCTGTCATCACTACTTCACATCTGCGATTTTCGGCAGCGCACAAGCGTCTCACACTTTTTCGCTTAAACTCAGGGTCTAATTACCCGTCCAGACCCGGTGACATTCGGGGGTCCCCGTGGACGTGGACTGGAACCGAAACCATACAACGCATTCATTGATCATCTGTAGACGCGGATCTGCGGTTCGTCGACTGATGCGCTCCTAGAAAAGACGGACATGTATTTCATCCTGACGAAAACTCCCGGTCGTGCTAAGGAATTCCCTATAAAGTCCCGTATGTCAGACACTTTGTCTTCCACCTCATGCCGCAAAGAAAAGTTTTGGACCTGCCCTGCGATCGCCAAATCGGGCCACCGATCCACATGTTCAGGCCCTCGCGCCGGCACAAATTTGCACCTCTCGATTACCACCCCGTTGTGTAACACAAGCACAACTGCATCGACGAGTTTCCTACTCTTATTCGAGGTGGCGACACATAGAACCCTGGCGAAATCGGATCCGGACACAGTCAGCCGCACAAAACAGTATGACACAGCTTGTGGAGAATTCCTGGGGCAACGGAGCGGGTACTGCTCCAGGAGCGGGCAGTGACGGGCGCAGTCCAGCAACTCTTGTTTTCGCGAGCCTCCCCAAGTTCGTGGCGACGACCTGACGTAGTGGCACTCGAGGCGGCTGAAATGGCGGCTAATGCTGGTCAGTGCTCTGCACATACGGTTAAGGAACTTGTGGCCAAGGACAGCGTCTGGCATCGGGATGAGGTTCCCGAACTCCAACAAGTTGGCGAACTTGTACTGGCTTGCCCAAGGGCAGCGCCTCTCCATCGCGGCCCAATTCCCATCGCACGAACATGCTCGTCCATGCACGGGACAACGGTCATCCAGGGGTCCTCATCGAAGTCCTCTGCGGTCGCTCCATGGATCGTAGTTACACCGTTAAAATACCGCACGGATCTCACAGAAGGAGGAAACGGTTCCACCAATCGAACGTGCATCTCGGGACTCATGGTCCGTGGTGTCGAGAACATCGAATCCATTATCCGTGGTGTCGAGAAGGTCACCTCCATTACGCACCCTACATACCACGCGCACATACCAGACGATACACACATGGCCACGGCCACACGTAGACGTCAAGTCCCGAACTGAAAATTCACAAGGTTCCACATGCCTGCACGCGCTGCCCACGCACAGGGTAAGCAGGCGGAGTGCGAATGCACAACAAGGAAACACCCCGATCATTGAAGTTCGGATGCCAGCGGACTTCTCTAGTCGACCAACGACGCAGGAGCGAGCACTTCGGCTGCATAGTGCTTTTCCTGAGAAGTCCGCCCGCATCCGAACTTCGGTGACCTCCCTATTCCGCATCCGAACGTTGTCGATTGCCCTGCTCTTCTCCCAAGCATAAAACACGCGAAGTTGAAGTTCGGATTCGGGCGAACTTCGTCGCTAAGCACCCGCAGCCAGTGCTTGAGCATTGGATAGAGAGCACGACAGTTATTGAAGTTCGGATCAGGGCGGGCTTCATCAGTAAGCACCCACAGCCGGTGCTCAAGCATTGAAAACAGTGCAGGCCAACCAATGAAGATTGGATGCAGGCAGACTTCTCCAGTTGCCTCCGCTGGCGGGGCCCGAACATTGGACGAAGGGTAAGCCGAACGCGAAAGTTCGGATGCGGGCGGACTTCTTCGGTCGTCCGCCTCAGAGAAAATGTGAAGTTCGGATTCCAGCGAACTTCTTCTTCCACCCGTCCTGTGCTGGTCGTGGAGTACCCAGGTTCCATGTCGAACTAGGTTCGTTTGATTTCGAACAAGGTTCGATGTCGACCACAGTTGGTTCAATATGCAACAAGGCTCAGTGTCGAACAAGGTTCAGTGCCGAACAAAAGTACATCTACAAAGAGACCGATGAGGATTCGACATGGATGCGCGGTCGTGTTTTGGATGACCGCTTGTTTTCGATGTCGAGTGCCGTGGTTACCGGTGATGTGGTGGCGTGTATGTGCACACACTAAGGGACAAACACACACGAAGAAGAGACAATCTGTTTGCTTCTTTTAGCGCTACGTTGTTGCCGTCGGTTGGTGGGTTTTGTACGACTATTCTCGTTTGGTCAAAAAGTCGCGGATGGTGATGATGCGAAACTGGTTGTGTGTGCCGCTTCGCTCACGTTTAGATCTATCGGACGATTGTCGAGCTCACCGTTCCCGATAACGAACTTGCTCGACGAGTGCATGCCCCTTCCCTCACGTATAGATCTGAGATGATGACCGACCATCCACTACTCAGGCTATCTATACATGCACGTGTGGTTGATGCAAGCGCAAACGAAGCGGCATGCGCCCGTCGAGCAAGTTCATTATCAGGAAAGGTGAGCTCGTCAATCGACCGATAAATCGCCTACTTGTCACCCACAACCGATTTCCGCATCATCACCATTCGAGGGTTCTCGACCAAACAAGTCATGCCCCATACCAAACGTGAATAGCCGCGCGCATTCAATCCACCGAACAACGCGCCCTGATCTGCTCGTTAATCGGTCGATTGTTCAGTGGAAGGGTGCGTTGTTCGGTGGATTGATTGCTTGTATGAGTCGACTGTTCATCATGTTGGACCCTATCGACTAAACGGACAACCGCTTGCGTGATACTCGCGGCCGGTGTAGTGCCGTGAAGCGAGCGAGGGTGGCTCGTTCAATCCACCGGTTGCATGGGATGGTTGGCCATGGATTCCATCAACGATTCCCTAGAGAAACCGCGTGGGTTCATGTCTGTCTGCCCAGACATGATTTGAGACATCTACATACGCTCACACGATTCCATACATTACAGGAACCAAAAAATAAACACATACAGACGACGCGACTTCTGGCACAAGCGAGCAAGCATACATGCACACACAAGGAATCAAATGCAGAAGACCGCTCGAACATGCGCAGATCAGGCAAACACACACAACGAATCCCACTTACACGAATCCCTCTACAACGAATCCGTCTTACACGAAACGTTTCGAGTTTTCACAAACGATACGTTTTCATACATACATACACGAAATGTTTACATTCACACAAAACGGATCGACTCCCAAACATTCATACAAAACGTGCGCAGTCGCACATACGAATCCCTCTACAACGATTCCCTCTTACACGAAACCCTGTACAACGAATCCACCTTACACGAATCCCTTTTCACGATGAAGATGTCGATACACACACGGATCGTCTGCACACACGAAACGTGTACTCACCCCGATGAAGATGTCGTCTGGAGAATGGATCGTTCCCACGGAAATCGTGATTACGTTCGCGACTTCGCGTGGGTTCGCTGTTCAAACGGCGGTGGACAAAGCGCGGAAGATGACGCGGGGCTGCGGATAAAGCGGGGCTGCACAGAAGCGGCGAGGGAGGTGATCACCGTGGCGTTGGCGAGCTCGCGTGGGTTCGCTGTTCAAACAGCGGAGGACAAGGTGCAACGCTGAAGAACGCGATGGCGCCAATCGCCGTGCCGCAGCGCTGGGGATGGACGACGTGGCGCTGCGCTGGGGATGGACGACGTGGCGCTGCACTGGGGATGGACGACGTGGCGCTGCGCTGGGGATGGACGACGCGGCGCAGCGCTGGGGATGGTGTTCGTGAGAGCGGGAGTGCAGGTGCGCAGTCCGACAGCATCTCCCCAAAGACATGCGAGTGTGCGAAATGAACACTGGGGGGGCGGTTTCGATTTTCAGGCGCGCGACGGGCCTTCCGCGCGGAAGGAAAGGCCTTTTTGGAAATCGAAATCGTGGCACCTGGTGGGGGGCGGGAACTTTTCACCCATTCGACCTGGAGGAAAAAGCGCGGGAGTCCGAGCACCGTTGGATTTGTCCAACCAACGACCACGGTCCGTGAGCGCGGGGGGCCTTCATGCGTCACGACGCGTGTGAGGGACGTTGGTGACAATCGGAAGCAAGCCTTTCCGGACGACACCAGGCAAGGGGGGGGGGGGTCGGAGGGGTGGCATTTTCGTTGACGGGCAGGAGGACCATTGGACGACAGTGAAAGCCCTAGGCGAGCCGTCCGATTTGCGCATCGCAAGGCCATTTCGCGGCGGGGTGGGAGGGTACCGTGACGTGGAACGTCACACCGGAGACCGACGAGGAGGCAGTTGCGCGAAAGCTCCCGCGCAAGTGGACAACCCGGTTCACCGTCCCATTCCCTGCATTCAGTCCTGCTTGATGACAGCTCCGCTGCGCTGCGCCATCGTCGTTATTCACCCCAAGCTGCGCCGCGCCGGCCCCGTCCTCGGCGAACGATCTCCAAGGTACGTCGGCTTGCGTTCGGCGGCAACGTGGCGTCCGCAAACCATCCCGCCCCTCCACTCCCTGAGTGTGGCAAAGAAGAGACGGAGAGAGAGACAGAGAGAGAGCGAATGGGAGACAAAGAGCGCGAGAGAGAGAGAGAGAAAGAGAGAGAGAGAGAGAGAGAGAGAGAGAGAGAGAGAGAGAGAGAGAGAGAGAGAGAGAGAGAGAG